AATAATAACATTTGATGTTGATATATATTAAATTGGAAGTTGGAGAAGTCCGTTTTTTTTAGCAGTCAGTCTAATTAAACAAACTGAATTTTGGAAAGAAAAATATTATCTTGAAATCGCCATTTTATCCTAAAAGTAATTTTAGAACCAAATATAAAGTTATAATGATGTGATATATAGGCCAATGAAATCAACCTAGGATCATTTATTTATTTTTAGGATCATTCATTTAAAGGCATATTTTCCATTTCTGATAGAAGAAATGTCAGCAGATCACTTCTACTAGGACTGTATTAGAGAAACAACTGTATTTTGCCTTTACTGTTTCTGTCAGTGTTACTCGCTTACCACACCCTGTTTGTCAGTGACAAGAGGACTGGGTGAAAGTTATTAACATGGGGTTCTTGGTGCTCTTTGAGCTCAAGAGACCCTGGGTTACAAATAGAAGAGATTATTGAAAAGTGATTAAATAAACCACACAACTGTCTCCTTAAAATTAAAATAGAACAATGAAGTGATGGTTGTTTCACAGAGCAGACTGGATGAGTAGCACATTGCTAGTATTATATATGGTATTTGGAATTAAAGTCCTACTGTGATAAATGAGGAAATGTTCTGTGGATTGCTATCTGAACTTCCACTTGTCTGTATCTTAGCTTTATATAGATTTACACGTTCTTGAAATCAATAAGCATAATCTATAACCTTCATTTGTTTTACTGTGAAGGAGCCTCTTATGATTACGCTGATCATGTTTCATCCATTTTATTGTCATTCATAACATGTATTTTATTAGCATACCTTGTAATTAGTTTATTCCAGAGTCATGAAGACATGTTCTATCAATAAATGTTTGTTGATTGATGTGTTTGGATAGTTACCAGTATGAGGTCTCTTTTCTTTATAAAATTAGATGAGATTTAAAGAAAGGGATTTTAAATATTATTTGCAAAAGGAATCTCAAATTTTAGCCATCCAGGATTAAAGTCTTAACATGCTAAAGAACAAGATTAAATAGAGATTTCTTATTTCACTCAGATATAAGTGTAATGTATATAAAATAAGTACTGTTTTGATGGGATATATTCAAACCATGAGTCATAAATATTAGAAACCGTAGTTTAGAAATTACTTGCTTTATATACTATTGATTTAAGTCACTAGCTAGTTTTTATGAATCTCCGTGAAATTTCCATGTCTTGACTATAATTTTCAGCCCTCTTTCTTGAGTGCCTTTAACAGCTTCCCAGATATTCTGCATAGAATTAAATAACAGTACTTAACCACGATCAATAACTTAAGATCAGTACAATCACTCTTGTTTTAATGACCTTAGTAGTTATGGGTAATAAAGTGTGAACTGTAATAGCCCATTGCTGCTATCACATTCTCTTTGAATCCTAGTAGTATTAGGGACTAGTGACATGAATAAGTGGGATATTTGGAAATGAAGAAATTAGATATCCAAACGTATTTATTTAAAACTTAGTCTAGGTAATTGCCTTGTGTTTTGGAAGCGGGGTGTGGATACAGTTCCTTCCACCACTTTACGCTTGAAGTGGGCAAGAGAAGAAGCAAGAATAGTGAAGAAGACCAGAGTTGCTGAAGTTGAAGCAAATGGCACTGTTCCCTTGGACAACAGCCACTTCCAACATTTTGTGAAGCCATTCCTTAGTCCTGCTTCCATTGTCCTTTCTCCTTAGGACATAATGGGGCCAATCCATAGGAAGAGGAGCAGTTCAGGAGCTGCAAACACTTGTTGCTGGCCCAGGAAATTTATTTATTATTTTTCCCCCACCAGCATGGCAAGGGAGAGGCAAGACCATTTTGTTTCCTTGTTCATGTCTCAGGTCTTTTTAGTCATAATCCTGGGCTAAGCTTGCAATGGTTGCTAACAACTGGTAAATATGGTTTCAGTGCGCTACCTGTTCATTGTCACAATCTCAGGAAAAGAAGATCTGCCAATTATGTGTGACTTTTTTTTTGAGATCTAGATCTTGTTATCATCTAAAGCAAAAAAAAAAAAGTTGTGATTGCCAGAAATGGAAAGAGTAGAGTAGTAAAACTCTTTCTTCTTGTAGGACACTAAAATGCTTTTCCCTTTGAGTTTCAAAAACTTATGATAGTATTGTGGAGTAGATAATCTGTAGGAAAGGAAACATTCATTTCCTTAACTTATGACAAGTCTATTATTCTTCATGTCATACCCAGAGTTGCATTAAAGAATGTTGGGTAGAAGACAAAAAAAAAAACCCATTATATATACTTCCATCCTAAATCTGCAAATAAAATTGATTTGTACATCAATCAGAAATAACATTTTTTTTAAAAAAAATCCAAAAATGTTTCCTTTTGTATATCTAAATCCATCATTAAGAAAATATAATTACAAAATTTTCTTTATAAAAGAAAACAGTGAAGTTAAGAAATAGTGCACAATATTTTAATTCTAACCCAGTGAAAATATTGAAGGACAAATATGAAGTACAGACAGATTCAGTCAAATATTTTTAACAGAAGTCTACAAAATCAAAAGTGTAATCACGTGATCTCGGTCTTTCTATGGAGTTAGGTTTTTTTTAAGTACTTACTTGAAACTACCCTGTCGGATGTTAGAATTAGTGTTATTGGTTTGGATCCAGATTAACCTGCATGTAACTGAACTAATTTTTAATGGACTTGTCCCACAACCCAGCTCACTCTGCATAAATTGGATGCAGCATTTGTGATATGTTGAAGAGTCTAGTGATTGCAGGAGACTGAAACAAAGCTTGTTTCTGCCAGCCCAGTAAATGTGTCAAATCAGCATCTAATCTATTTCTTCTGTTTGTTTATTTATGCTCTTGTTCTTTTCTTTGTTTCATTATTATCAGTCTGTCTCTATATATGTCTTCCGCTTGTTACTTGAATGGAAATCAATAAGACAATGATTTAAGGAATTAACAGTCTCTCTATCTCAGCGCTTGCCACTGATACTTAACCATTCTATACCTATATTTCAGTGCTCTAGTTTGGATTTGGTTCTTGTCACCATTAATATCTCTGGAATTTCAGTATCCATTTCCTAAAATTTGTCTAGTGGATTGTGCTGTAATTTTATAGGAGAGTAAAGCTCAATTGTAAGCACTGCAAATAATTGTCAGTATAGAAGTGTGCATAACATAAAATATTTCCAATTTTCAGGTAAATTCAAATGTGATGGCTTTGAGACACATTGGTTTTCATACAGTCCATAGGTGATATAAGTGCTTCAGGTTACTTTACATTGCAGCACATATCCTGGTAACCCTAACTGATATACCAATGTTGCTGACACATTGTCTTGTATTATGTTCATGAGGGGTCTTGTATTATGTTAATGAGGGGTCAGAGGGTATAATTGTATCAAACAGATGCAGTAAGCATTGTTTCTAAAATGGTAAACACATAACCTCACTGCACGGTATTTGCTGTACATAAATCTGACCTTCAGAAACTATTTTTTTTTTAGTTCATCAAAATTAGCGGTGCTGAGAAATCGGTACATCAGTGCATAATGACTGTGAAATTAGGAATGAGAATTTGCTAGGCAAATGATAGGACAAATCATGTGAAAAGGCAAGAAAAACTGCATATTAAGACATTGTGTTACATAAAATTAATATTGCATTTCTTTCTTGCTTTCTAGTCCCCTGAAATATTTTTAAAGCCTTTTTTTATCTCCCGAGCAGCTATTGTCTGCTGATTTTTTTAAAGAAGTGCTGCATAAAAATGTTCAAAACATGTTATTACCTTTCATTGCAGTCTATGAGATGACAGCAGATTCTTTTTAACTAAGTATATCCTTTTACGGCTTTTAATTTTTTGCTGTCACCTATTTGAGCTGAAACTAAAGGAAAGTATTGTGCTTAAATATTACTTATTCAGTCATGTGAGTTTTGTGCCCCCCTCAATTGTAACTCTTCTCTCCCCCCCCTTTTTTTATCTTTTCCTTTCTTTCGCTCTGTCTCTCTTTTTCTGGTGGGGTTTCTTATAAAATAGTCTTGTTGCATTACCGGAACTGACAAAATGGTTCTCATGTAGTCTGCAAATTAAACACAAGTGCAGTGATTATTTTGAATAGCTAAATTACATTCTAGAAAGCTTGCAGGATTCAGAGCATTGTCATTAGGTATCCGCTTGAATACAATTTGTGTAACCTTGGCCGAGACAGCCTGTCATTTTAATGTCAGTGTTTTATCTGAACAAGACATCATCCTTTCAGATAGAGTGTACAGGTTCGTTGCAAAGATGCCCGTGCAGAAACGTGTTAACAGTTGCAAATATGAAATGCTATCAAGTTCATCACTGTAGCTGTTTGTCACTGAAATGTCATGGAAAGCGGCTTTTAATGGTATCTCACATAATACGAAAGAATTGAAGCCATCTGTATGCTAGGTGAATGCGGAACGGTTGAGGCATCATCATAGGAATTCCACTGCTAAAATTGCTGGGGAACAAGGTGTGTTTTCTGTATCGCTGAAATTGCATTAATTTGTTTCAAGTCATTAAGTTGAAACTCCCCAATGGCCGCTTCTGAAGGGTCTTACTTGTTAATTAATGTAACATTTGTCAAAATTGATAGGCACCTCTAGAAGATGCGCAGATTAATAGCTTGATTTTCTCAGAACATAAAATCTATTTCTGTGGAATGGGTAGAAAACAAGCTTGTTTGGATGGCACAGTGTTTCCCTGAATTAAATCAGATGCGGTCATATTTTTTTTTATCCCTTTGCTTGTCCTTTAAAATAAAAGCTATAGGGGGAAAAAACATTTTGGGGTGATCTAACAATGCAGTTATTATACTTGCCTATTCAAAAAAAAAAAAAGCCCTCTTCAGACTGCAGCTCAAGTTCACTAAAGCAATTATTTTGACCGTGTAGAGGAGAAAGAGAAATTTAAAACGAACTATAACAAAGCAACTCTCCCTTGACAGAAGGTTTGTTGAACTGCTTGTACTTTACACTGTCTTCGTATTTTAGGTTCCAGTGTCGGTGGCTATGATGACACCTCAAGTTATCACTCCCCAGCAAATGCAGCAGATCCTCCAGCAGCAAGTGCTAACTCCACAGCAACTTCAGGTCCTGCTCCAACAGCAGCAGGCACTCATGCTTCAACAGGTAAATACTTTCTTTGGCAGCTGCTTAGCTAACCAACACAGCTATTGGAAAAGGAAGGCTGTTACACTGGTGCCATTTCCTATGTCAAGTATCTTCCTAAAATAAGAGATTGTTACATGTTTATATCCTGGCATTTATGAGAGAGGATGAAATTGCAACTCCCAGAATTCTCCGCCAGCTAGGAATTCTAGTAATGACCATATTCCCAAAGATATCTGTAGAGCCTCAAGTTGAACGAAGTGCCATTCTTTCATATTCACTGTAGG